CCCAATTTTTGGACTGTGAAGTTTTGAAAAAAATATTTTATTAGAGAAACAAGTTATGAAGAAAGAAAATTTACAAAGAAACAAAATTCGACGTCTAGATCTACAACTTCGGTCATGATGCCGAAAGCGGTGCAGGCGACGCTAGCAATCTACGCATCAGAATGAGAGTAGGAACGAAGCATTCAGGCCGATGCCTAGCGTATGCATTTCTATCGCGTACTCGTACTCGTAATCGTATCATCACGTACAATTTTTACAAAAAAGTATATCATACTGCTGGAAAACCAGTTTATTCCTACTTTATTATTTTATGCATTTTTCACGTATAAAAAGTGTACCTGCTTTGTATATGCCACCCCCCTACTTTTTGGGCTTGAAAATTTTGGAAAAAAGGGGTGGCTTATACATGGGGAAATACGGTAGATCATTTTCTTCCTCATACAGTGGCACCTTGGTTCTCATTTTTAACTCGGTCCAGAAGGTTCAATGAGTACCAAAAACAACGAGTATGAAACAAATTTTTTCCATGAGGAATAATGTAGCCAACACTGACAAATTCTGGTTTGTGTGTTGAGTAAAAAATAAACTATTGTAATGAGATAAAATTTTTGCATCAAAATGCATTGAGTCCAAAATTTTATTAGTTTCAAAGTAGTTCAGTACTAAGGTACTACTGTATATTTATTGGAATAGAGATAGCTAGGTTTTCTGTATATTCTTAGTAGTTGGGATGTCTAGAAAGCAATATATACATAATCAGGTTTTCAACAAACATTTCATCCTTTGCATGAATGCAAGAAAGTGAGAAGAATGCAAGAAAGTGAGAAAAATGAGTTTCAGGAAAAAGACTAAAGTTTTCCTCTCAGTGATATTGATAAAAATTGTTTGAAGAAATTAGCATCTTTTTCCTCAAAGAAATTGTTTCTCAGTTCTCACTGTGCTACTAGTGAGCCTACTCAAATTTGGAAAGAGGGAGGAAAATGCAAAAGAAACAAAGCGGATGAGAAGGAAGAACATACATGAAATATATATGTTAGCAAGTACCCAAATACATGCATAAATATTGAATAAGTGACAATGTAGCATAATGTGATAATTCAGCCTAAAAGACTGAAAAGAATATTCCACCACCATCCACAAAATAAAGTTCTACACAATGTTTTACATAGCATTTTTAGATTTTCTTCAAATGGATTGCAAATAAATATGGGTGAACAAAATTCTGTCATTCATACCATATATGTTGTTTTCTTGCAGCTACTTCAAGCATCCATACAAAACTAGGATGACTGACAACTTTGTTTTTAAAGCCTTCATTACACAGAGCTAACTACTAAAGCACAACAAGAAGGCACCGTAAATCTACCAAGATAAGCACTAAAGGTCTTGCAGAAAACCTTGGCTGTCAATTGCACATAAAGTATGTCTAATAAACTGTTATCAAACTGTACTTTCAAATTATGTTACATCAGGAAAGGTGTAGTGGTTACAGGTAAGGATAGACAATGTTCATCTTACCAACTTCAATTTATTTTTTAAAAAATATAGAAACATGAAATCTTTTAAGCCTAATAAATAAGTTAAACTGATACGCATTTCTGCATGTTATATAAAATACTCAACCAGTTTTTTGACAGAATTGCTCAAATGAAGCATGTGATTCTTTAGTGATTCTAGAAAATTTTTCAAATAGTTTTTGTGACACACACACACACACACACACACACACTTTTTTTTTAAACAGCATGGATCAGTTTGCCCAAATGTCAGCTTTTATGTCATTCAGACTAGTAAGATTTTCAGAAGTTTTAGGAGTGGCCTTATCAGGACATCCTTCTTATGTCCTGATAATAGAATTCCCAGGGTTGGTTATATCTACCAACTTTTTTATCTGCCTGTCTTTCTGTCTATTTCTTCTACTGCTTTTAAGCAATTGATAAGGATCCAGTCAAAACTTTAATTGTCTAAATAAAAAGTTGTCCTTTACTGCAGACCAATAGAATTAGTTTATCCCTGGCAGTGCTTAACTTCATTTTAACATAATATTCTATATTGATTTTATTTTGCCTTTTATATTTCAATATTATATTTTCTTTTTCATTTATTTATTTAATTTCACTTTCAGAAAAGCACTGCTCCATTAAAATACAGGAGAAACAATCTCTAAATAAATAAACATTTCTGGTAGGCATATAAACCTTAAAAAGTGACGTCATAATAATTTTATGGTTAAAGGGAAGAGAAAGGCATATGAATCTTTCTCCCTATTTTAAAGCCTTCAGCATTCTGTGTGTAGCTTCCAATTAAATGATGGTTTCCTGCAACAGTGAAGAACTTGAAAAACAAATATTGTGGTAACAATAACTAGTTGTTAAATCAGTAAGTTAGTAAAGTAGGTTTCAGGTGTTTATGTTTTAATTTACCATTAAATTAAAATGTAGTGTATTTTTTTTCTTCGCCTCAGACTTTTGCTTCTGAGTGCCCTTGCCAATGCTGCACTCCACAAAATGGGTAGATCCAAGAAATGGGAAATGTCAGACCAAAACAGAATATTCATTTCAATTTATTTCCCTACTAATTTAATTTAAATTAAAAGAGATGAAACTAATTGCTTTAGGTGTATCCTATCATATTGGGCATAACTTTTGAAAATGCTCAAGGATCTGCATCACAGACTTTTGGGGAAAACCTGGCAACCATGACAGCTCAGAGTATATACAACAGATTTCCAGCACAAATTACTTTGAAAGCAATTCTTCAAGACCCACACAAAGACAATTGTACAATATATATGCAAATATTTAGATAAAATTATCCAGCGTTAATTTGTTTGCATAATGGTTAAAATATGAAAATGCACAGTAGATACTTACAATGTAATTTTTATTCTTTACAACAGCATAAAGTGGGAAAGATTGACATAAAGGAATTCTCTCTGTCTGTGTTTCTGATTGCCAACAGGTTAACTCAAAAAATGGAGCAGAATAGGATCAGAAATTGGGAAGTGGGAAAGGATAGGGAGAAGCTGATTTTAAAGAATGGTTTTAAAAATAGGCTGGATTAGACAGGAGATGCAGAGAAGAAAATTCCATTCAAAGTCCTTTAAACTGAATGCAACCACACACCCTATTTCAAGTCACCTTATAACAGTTTCTATTTGGGTTGAAAAGAAAGATCTACATGCTTTCCATAACCTATTTATTTACAACATGCTGTATTTTACTGTTTTATGCATTTTATTTTCTTACAATGCAATATGACATTATTATGTCTTTTAAAAATGATGCATTGAATTTGAAATATTATGATTCACCCAAGGCCAGCACAGTCACTGCTGAGAAAAATCTAGCCATGTTTGTCTTTTTGAAATCATAAAGATTTAAGCAAATGTTTTATATAGTTCAGGGTATGCGGGATGGTGCCCAAATTTGTGACAGAAATAGGCCCAAGGTTTCCTCAAGACTAGCAAAGCATCTATTCAACTAGATATTCAGAATCTCCAACTAGATCGCTCATGCAAGAATTTAATTTTTTAAAGCAAGTGCTATCTGAGTTTACAATAATTTCAAATATATTCACTTTAGATTGTAAAATGATGTCATAGTTGGCAACTATGGTTGCTATTTTACTTTTTCCTCTTCTATCCTTCTGGAGTGGTAAGCATGATTTTTTTCTTCCCAAATTTGGGTACCTTTCACAACTTCAACATTCCCCATTATTGGAGCCACTGCTAAGAATCTTGGAAGTTAAAGTTCATACATCTGAAGGGTACCTAGGTCACATTATACAGTGGGAGACAATAGAAAGTGATATAGCCATAGCGGTGCTGGACATGTTCATCATAGAAGCATCAAAATTTACAACAGGCTAATGATACTAATAGACATTTCATATGAAGTGCAGAATGCTATGTTGGATGCAGTTATACCTCTCCTGTGACATATTTTATGGCCAAAAATGAACATAAGGACCAGATCTATTTTAAAAATTGTAAGAAAATAAAGTGCATTTAAACAACTGCCTCCTGAAGTCCTCTGCCAACGAAAACAGAGCTTGCACCCTTTCCGAGTTCCAATTTTCATTGGCAAAAAGGCACTGTGGGCTGGTCCTTCACTCTTTCCAGGGAAGCCCCATGGGCCAGATTTAAGCATCCCGTGGGCTAGATCCATCAGGCCTTGAGTTTGACACCCCTGAGCTAAACTATGTACCTTGAGGAAGTTGTAAATCTTGTTTCTTGAATATGTTTACTATGAGAAATCCAATCTTCTTGGCTTAAATGTTTGTAAACCATTATGTTGCCAACAAGTAATGCTTGGTGCATCTGAGTATTCAGTCTACACACCTTGAAAGTCAAATTTCTAAATAGATTTTTTTTAAAGTATCAGGTAATGTTAGCATCTGTCAGGTAGGTTTTCTAAATTGTTTAGACTGGCAATAAATCAGAATTTATACCTCATTCTTTTCAAATCATGTGAAAAGGAAACTCAGAAATTTAGCTCTGAGACCATTTCTATCAAAGGCATACTTTGCATCATTAACCATCTAATCAACAATATCATTCTTTCTTCAAAGCTTACAAGACATTATTTACTTTTCTTCACTTTGGGTGGCATTTTGAAGCTGTACTTAAAAACTCCGTAAGATTAAAAGAAAAAGGTTCAAAAGGGAATTGTGGAATTGCATGCCAGATCTGTACATCCTCTGAGTCATTTTCACTTGGACAATGATTGTGTAAACAATTATGTGGTATGATAACAAATAATAATATCAACAATAATACTGATGATAAGGATGAAATTGATGTAGTATAATCTTCTGTCCTTGATGAAATAACAGAATAATCCTCTGACTATCAAACAAGGCCATTTTGATCATCTCTCTTTAGTGACCTTCTATATTTCTCCATACTTCTTTCTCCCTTCCCTCCCCCTAATCCCAGAACAACATTGCTTTCAGCTTCTCCCCTAGTTTTCCCACACACAATGCAACCCAGACCTCACCTTCAGCTCTCCTGAGACTACTTTGGAAGCCAATTCGATGACACAGCCAACAGCCATGCGTGCAGCACCGGACGAATGCAGCTCATTCCAAATGGTGTCACTGTCCACCTGAGCAAACAGTTAGTAGAAGGGGGGGTGAAGAAAAAGAGAGAGAGGAGAGAGGGGGGAGGAAGGAAGGAGGGAGGGAGGGAGGGAGGAAAAAGAAGAAGAAAAGAAAAGAAAGAAAGAAAGAAAGAAAGAAAGAAAGAAAGAAAGAAAGAAAGAAAGAAAGAAAGAAAGAAAGAAAGAAAGAGAAAAGAAAAGAAGAGAAAACAGTGAGGGAGGGCTGGCACAGTGACAACAAATGTACAATAACATTAGTCTTCCGTCTTGGCCGGCTGAAAAGGCCTTCTGGACATGAGCTTGCTTATACTTTTTCTCTATACTGAGTTCTCCAATGGAAACACATTCCTGTCATGCCTCACTGCCATTCCCTGTTTAGATTTCTCATTACAAATGGTATTACATAGGCCAGATCTGGTTTAGTTGTATGAATTTGTTAGAAGATACCAGGCTTTAGTCAGAGATGCAATATATGTATGTGCATGCATGTATGGGCATAATGTGTATTCATATTTATATTCATACCTGGTCTGTCCTTTGAAGTTCTGGCAAAGGGCAGAACAAAACAGTGCAATGTATAGACTGTCAAAAGATTATTACAGAATATGTCAAAAAGATCATTACAGAATAAGTTCATTTAAAAAATAAGATGGAGAAGCAATTTATAAAGCATGATCCTGAAATAAAATATATTTTAAATCCAAGAAAAAAATGTCAAGCAGTTTAACATATGAGAACATTCATGGTAAGGCAAATGTATTCTATTGAACTGCATAATCAGTTAATGCAGGTAATTAACGTGTCTTTGGATAATAAAGCAATTATGCCATAAGAAGAAAATTCCTTGGGTGTTACCTTCCTCAGGATATTAGTTAAAATTATTAATATATTGTTCTGCAAGCACTAATGATAATTTGTTTGAATTATCATTATTGTATCCTGTTCTTCTGAAGCAACAACAGGTGAACCTGATATATACATTTGCTAACATAATCTTCTTGAATATATTCTAATATATTGTCAGAGTATGATTCCAAGTCATTTTTTAAAAACTATAGGATAAATGAGTCACTGTGATACTATTATTATATAGTCCTGAATACAGTTTTGTTTTTAAGTATTGTATAATGATTATTCTAGGTTAATCCAAATGTTGTCTTATCACCAGTTGTTGGCAATCTTTACAGACACTATGTACTACTTGCAATTTTTTACAACAGCAAAGGTGTTACAAAAATTAACAAATGGCCAAAGTCTCCTAAAATAGTGCTATCTAAGCTTATTTTTAAAATCATTATTAAACGCCTTGCATTCTAGATCAAACTCTTCTAGTTTTTCAGGCTAGAACATCAAAACTTGGGAAAATTGGAGATCTGAAATTTTAGCCACTTTTACTAAATGAATGTTAATTTGATTTTTCAGAACCTATGGATGATACCAGCAATGTTACATACCCATGTGTTGCTTCTGGCAACCTCTGTTTTGCATTCACATGTGTTTACCAATTCCTTTTGTTATGACAAAAGCTTAATGTCCTGTCATATTTTCTCCCATCACTTGAATAATGAAGGAATCAAACATGTTTAGCTTAGTGATTCCTGAACAAATACTTTTAATATTCTCATAAATGTATTGCAAACACTCTAAAATATGCATTTAAGGCACGTGCATAAGTGCACCATCGTGCCTACCGTCCCTGTCCTATTGTCCCCATTTATTTGTAATTATTTCCTGTATTCTTACTCATGTTTATACTTATATCTATTATCTTGTAAGCGATTGACAAATCAAATAAATAAATAAAAATAAATGGAATTGGGATGTGGCTTCTGAAATCATCTTATGAAAGTTTCCTAGAATGCCTTCAGAGGTAATTATTGCAAAGTTCAGATGATACTGATATTTTAAATGGTCTTATATAGAAAAAGTGCTCAGGGGTATAATAATTCCTGAAATATTAAATATTATATTTTCAAATGGAATCTACATTTCATTTGATTTTATGGAAAACATTTACACTTTCTATTTTAGTTCATGATATAAATTTTTCAGTTTATGACTCTACTGTGTTTATTAACAAAAAATAAAAGAAATGAGAAGAAAAATAAAAACACTACTTTCAATTCCTGAACAATTCTTTCACAGCATGTTTTTTAAAAAATAAAAATAGAATCTTATCTTAATTGCTGGAGGCAATGTTTAAACAGCAATTTAACACATGGACATTATGAAACAGGACCATAAAATCTGATGAAAAATCCAGCATTGAACTAAAAACACACAAGAAACCAGCATATAACTGGCATACATCAAAACAGAGCCAGAGGCAAAATAAAACTCCCCAACTGTTACTCTTTGTGGTGTGTTCTTTTCTGCAACCACTAATGTTGCTAACAAATGCATTTTTCCTTTTATGTCTTTTCTTTCTTCATATATGTATCTGTGTGTCTATGAATATCTGCTTTTATTCTTCTGTTTACTATTGATTAAAAGATGTGATGAAGAGTACTTGCACAAAAATACTTATTACAGGAAAGAAATACCTAAAATCAAATATGACACAACAGATTTATTGATTATATTTAAACACTTTAAAATATCTTATAATGTTATGCATATTAAAATATTTACATAAGATAATGAAAACATGTCATAATTAAGATTAAAAAGTTAACAGTTTAAATTGTATAGAACAGTTTAAACTGTTAACAAGTTTAAACAGACAATTAGAATAGCTGACAAAATGAAAAAGTCTTAATATAATATAATATTTTTAAAAGTTGAAAAATTAGCCTTAGGCACATTCCCAGGAATGGGTTGGGGTCAAAATAACAGGTACAAACATGGAACTGCACCTATTGTCTAGAGTAGAGGTATCAAACTCAATTTCATTGAGGGCTACATCAGAATTATGTTTGACCTTGGAGGGGGTGGGGGGCATGGACAGTTTGACATTGCTTGTCTTGTGGGGGTGCCTGTGGTGGCCCAAGATCTCTGCCAGCAAAAATGGGTTCCTGAGCTCCATTTTTGTCTGTGAGGGCCTCCTGCAACCCTTTGTCAGCAAAAACAGAGCTTGGAGGGCTGCCTGGCCCTTACATGCTCCATTTTTTGCTATAATGATCTCCTGCAAACCTCTACCAGAAAAAAATGGAGCTCAGAAGGGCCACCTGCAGCCCTCCTGAGCTCTGTTTTCACTGGCAGAGGCACCATGGACTAAGCCAGATCTAAGCACCCCTTGGTCTGGATTCGGGGCCTTGAGTTTGACACCCCTGGTCTAGAGTTTTTGACCTCTGATTCTAGACCTTTGATCTACACCGCTATGTGGTATGTCATATATGGGGCAAGGCATACATTATCTTAAAGTACAATGCACCAAAAATATAGGAGCAACCTTGTTATATAAGATTAAAGACCTTTTATTCTGTTGCCACAGAAATCAACCTTCACTGGATGTAATCAAGCACGAGAGAATTATCTACCAGGACTTTTAATATGTATTCTTACATGAAGCAGAAAGATAGACGCAAAGTCTGAATGGACTCTTCTTTCTCCTGGATTCAGAACTGATGGGAAAGGTCCAAAGGTACAAGGGAAACAATTTTAAACTCAACCATGTCCCCCCACCCAAAATATATTCTGCTTTCAGTCCTGAATATTACGATTTACATGAAAGAGGACAGAGGCAAATATAAGGATTGTTCCACACAAACTGAAACTAAGTTTGCTCAGCATAAAGGAGTTATAAGTGGGAAATAAGCAAGGAATGTTGAATCCTGCAAATGACAAGGAATTTACTGTCCAAGATCAATAATGCAAAAGTCTAGTTACAAAGGCAAATCAAAATCACTGTCCAAAATTGATTGAAGTGAAGTTTAACAAATATCAGACGTGACTTTACTGTAAAGTTTGGTATGTTCAGACCTTTTTTATTTTATAGTAACAACTGGGCATAACATTTCATATGAACTAAAGGAAATCTAATATATTCCAGTGCTGAATTTCATTTAAACCCTGCAGCATTTAAAACTTTTTTGAGGCCATTCTTTTACAGAGCACAAGTAGGAATTTATGTGAAGAAAGATAACCTGGAATCAGTGCAGACAAAATTTTGTGGCTCAGTCTTCACTGCACTTAACGGAACATGTCTTGAGATAGGAATGCCTGCAGTCCAGACCAGGCTCCTCTAGGTCATAGAGAAAATTTGTCATGATATGGTTGCTCTTTAGAGTATTACCAAGCCAAACAATTGCTCGCCTAAAAATAAATGATATGGAATTTTAGACCAAGTTAATAGCTTGCCCTAAGATTGCAAAAATTGGGTAAATAAGGGCCCTAGGGAACCAGCAAGGTAGCTACAAAATTTAATGTTCCCTAAAACTGAGGATACATTTTTCTGAAGCTAGGCATAACCTCTTTCTTCATTGCTGCAAGACAAATATTTCAAAACCTCCTTAACTGAGCATACCTGCCCACATGGTAAAAAGGAGGTCAAATCTATTTCATAAGTATTGTTATGCTGTAATTATAGATGAATTTTATGTCTACTTACATTCTGTCCCTAGTATGTAAATTTACATGAAGGACAGTCCATTTTTATGTGAGCCATCTTTTAAAACATTCTAAATCCCTTATCTCTTATGTAGTGCTCTAATTCTGTGTTTCCAAAATGAAAATAAGGCATAAGTGGTTATAGGTGTAATCACTTCTGTTCTATTCATCATTTTAAATGTATTACAAGTTAGCTATCTTGCTTTAGGTGACATGTATTTTTCGTTTATAGTTTGTAATATTTTACTTCTACAGTATGGAAATATACTATAGCATATCATTATAGTAGCATATGTTCATTTTTTATTACCGAGATCCTTGTTATGCTAGTATTTTATTTCATCTATTTGATTATATTTTTGTATAATTTCAAATATTGCTAGTCATTGATCAAATAAATACAGTTTCATTTCATTTCATCTGAAATGCTATGTCGTTCACATATCAAAAAATGGCTA